TTATCAAAATATTTAACCGTACAAAATATTTTCTTCACAGAGCCAAAGTCCATTCATTAGGGGCCCCTTTAAAAAATTGAACAATATAAACAATGTAAAAAGGTACTGTCAATTATATTTAGATATATATACATATGTATATTAATTCCATTGATTAAATAGCAGTTTAATTAATTTAATCGATGTTACACATAGTAATAATGATATATTAGATATTCATGGGTTCCACTTGTGTAAATAATATTTGTATATTCACTGTTGATGTGCCACTGCAAAATCATTTTATGTTCCCCTGTCTTACTTATGTACTCAGTTGTTTGGCTAATGTTTCATCTATGTTAATTTAGCATTTCTGAGTTATTTCCAAACTAGAATTTTGGCTAGCATTGATTAGTCTTCTCAGTTTTAAGAATACTAAAGCTCCTATTAAATAATATTACTAAAACCAACTACTGGATTTAATAATCTTTTATGGAGTTAAATTTACTCTTAGAGGATAATACATTCAACAAGAACAAATTATTTTTAAACATTACATACTGTATTGAATATTTTAAAGTTATTTTTGAACATAACACATTATTTTGAATATTTTAAAATTATTTTTGAAATGTTTAACAATACTCACCAGTTTATTTGTTTATTCATTTTCTTTTATGAAATTGAATGTACATTATTGTGCATTAATTTACAAATATGGACAAAATGAATTTTTAAATACAATTTCCTTAGAAAATATTAATTACTAAATATGACTTGAAGAATTGTTGTACCCAAATATGAAAACGTTTTAACCATTAATTGATAAACTTTAAAGGTCTGTGCAATTTTTGATAAATAATAAAAAAAAAAAATTAAGTAGATGCTCATTCAAAAATCCATTACTTGATCAGAAAGCTGAAAAATAAATATATATTTAGGTTATCCAACTGTAAATAGCAATAATTAAAATTTTTAATTTAATTTGTGAATATTACCTATAAGGATATCCATGTGCTTTTGATTTAAATATAGATAGAATAACGCTGAATAAAAATACAACCAATGCTAAACCACCAACAGTCATTATTTTACGTGTCTTAGAATCTGTTTTCTTGGTATAAGAATCGATCATTATCACTGCTCCAAACACCAATATTGTATCTATAGAAATATTAAGGAAAACTTGTTTTTGTTTAAACTGTGCACTTATTTTAGTATTTATAAATTATTTTTTGTTAGACACAAATTGTTATAACTAACTGAATGTAAAAATGTTACAATTATAGATTCTAAGATTTGTGGTGTCATAGATACTTTAAATGGCTAAGCAAATAATGTGCATTATTTTAGGTTAATGATTATTGATTTGAGGTCAAAAATTTTTGAATTAAAATATATATAAATAATAAAGACACATAAACTATTTATAAAATAATAGTTGGTTGGTGCCATATATCTGTATATTATGTATTTATTTGTGAAGTGAATAGTTTTTATTTGGTACAATTAAAATTGTTGTGGTATTACATATTATGTACATTTTAAACAATATTAACTAATTATAATCTGCTAATCTCTAATAACTCAAAATATTTGAATCAAGTTTATAGGAGTTAAAAAACAACATTTATTAATCCCAATAACACATAATAACAAATTTAAATCAGTTTTCAAGTATTATTACATCACTAGATTAGTCTGTATAATTTACAATACATAAGAAGGTTTTGGTTAAAATAACTACTGACAGCCACAAATCCTATAAAATTAAATTAATTATTATCTTTATTATCTTATTTATTAAAAATTATAAATAGCAGCGCGGAGCTTAATTAAATTTATATTTTCACCATTGTTCATTATTGACAACCCACATTTATTATAATATATTAATATGCCTAAATAGATTTATTTTAATAATCATTACCTTTTTTTTTAGTATAGTTTATAAATTTACATTGGTAGCCTGGCGACCTTAGAGAGTCCACCCAGTAGGGACTATTTCTACTGTACAACCTCTGATTCTAAGCATAAAAACTTAAAACCTCCCAAAAAATGACAAACCTTCTGGTTTACAATAAGTAATATGGATA